AAAAATTGTTTTTGTTGCCGTTAATTGTAGTTAAATTTCTCCGTCGTTTTTATTTACATTCTATTGCAAGTAGGCGATTAGCCCCAGATGAGAATCGATATCGTCAAATTATATGTCAAAAGCTAAGTCAACAACTATTCACTGACTCTTCACTTACGATAGAAATATAATCAAGTGACTATGAATTTACATTTACTATCAGTTTTCAAATCAAGGGCGAAGAACGAACGAACGAACTAGCATACTCTGCCACATTCCGGGATATTTTTATTTTACAAGATACTTGCAAGAAGCTGCTACTATTACACTTTGCCTCCACATGACATTGAATAATAATAATTATTTATTTATTTGCCAGAATATGGTAATATGATGGTGGTACAATCTAAACTTCGCATATTCTGCCACACATAATGGCATCTTAATTTATCTCACATAATTAAAAGGTAGAACTGTACAAAGTAGTTACATTGTATGAGCCAAGGCTGTACATTTTGCTCACTTAGGCTTTCTTAGTTTTATAAGCGTATCGATATATCCAATCAAATCATCATAGTCAATTTATATATAAAATATATACAATATTGAAACATTTTTTTTCATTTAGACTATCAGCAGATTGAAATTGGAGCAGGCATTTACATTATAATAATAAATCATTTATTTGCAAGAAAGTGGTAAATCCGCACAATCAGCCATATAAAAATAGGCATCACATAACATGTCACAAATACCTAAACCTCTAGGAGGTCAACTAAAAATAATAATAAAATATTACGTAAAGCATTGTATAAATATTAAACTCTGATAGTTTCCAACTGGTTTACTTTCTAATTACATATCTATTTGATCGATAATTTAATTAATAACTATTTGCATAAAATTCAAGTACGATAATCTAGTAGTGAAAGGATTAATAGTGATTTTAAGATAAAACATAACCGGTTGCAATCTTTTTAATCATCTTATTTAAATGTTAGGAATGTCAGTCAACCTCAAATACATTAATTCCCCCTATAACGCGTTGTAGGATTACTCTCGTATAACCGTTTTTTGAACAATTCAAAAACTAAATATAACTAAATTTAATCATGTTTTTTACTTTAATTTTATAACAACACAATTGAAGCAAAGGTACACAAAACTAATTATGGACTTGACAAATCATTATAAATTTCACACTACAGAAATGTAACTTGAGATATACCATGTTATATAGGGTACAGAAAACGCGTTATAGGGGTACCGCGATATAGAGAGGATAACTGTACATTATTCTATGAGGATACAAGCTTCTCTTTGAAAACCGGCAAAATTAGACGACGTCAGTCAGGCTTGAAAAAATAAAACAGACACAAATGTCACTATTGAGAGAAAGGTGGAATTTAAAAAAAGTGCGTGCGTACAGTACACATGTCAGAAGTGAAACTTCTTTGGCAAATTAATTTTTAACTCTTGTTCATGGAGTTAAGAATTTAATGAAGAAAATTGTCTTTAAAATATTAAAAGTGTCGAAATTCTTTTAAATTTATATCTTCGATAATAAAAACACGTGGCATTTTAATTTGCAATTCGTCATTTGAGATTTCAGTAAATTATTTTGCATAAAATATAAAATACTAATATTTCATAAATTCTCTTGACGAAATTTTAATTTTAAAAAGAGAATTTCTATATGGTAATTTACCCTTCTCACTCTCTCTCAATCGGTCTCAATCGCTCTCTCCCTTTTCTTCGACAAAAACGCTGCATATTTTCGTGACGTTTCTTAAAAAAATTACCCTCATGCGCCTAAAGAAGTTTCACTTCAAAAAAACACACCAAGTCTACACAAGAATACGTTGAACGAAATCACTAATATATTGATCGTACTTTCCATTAATTGCCTTTCTATTTGAGTTACGTGAAAGTCGACTGAGTACACAGTGTAATGGCAGAAAACGATGCGTGGGACAATTTATATTAATATTCCTCTTAAAAGAGCAGTTTTGGCCAAGTGGCTTCAGCGTACGACTCTTACCCCTGAAGTCATAGGTTCGAGCCCCGGCAGTGCACCAATGGAGATTTGGAGATGGAATGGAGATTTCTATCAGTATGTGCGCATTCGCTCGAACGGTGAAGGAAAACATCGTAAGGCTTGCCTTAGACCCAAAAAGTCGACGGTATGTGTCAAGCACCTTCTTGCCTATTCTGATGCAATGTTTCTAAAAGGAATCTAGATGTTATACAATCATTATTTCTGCTACAATTTACAACGAAGTGACGATATGTCATTGAGTATTTGTAATTTACCTTGATATATAAGTTAGGGGAAAGAAATTGTTCAGTTATATTATAATATAACATATAGATTCACCTGTATAAATGCTAATTTGAAAAGACTCACTGAGCTTACAGTTGAGATCACTGTTTCCCAACCTTTTGTGTCCCATGCCCCACCTTAGCCTTTCTAAATTTTTTATATAACATACATAATTTTGAATATTAAAAAATGAATGAATAAGTAACTTAAATTATAAGTTTGTGCAAGAAAAAACTTGGAAATTGTTACCGAAACACAGTAAGTAAATTTTGAAAACATAATGATAAACCGAAATTCAAATTCCAAATAATTAAAAAAATCTAATATATCCTTAACAATCAAACTGCCCCCTGTTGGGTGTGGGCCCCACGTTGGAAAACACTGGTTTTGATTCATATAAGTTTGGAAATTCTTGTACATACACAGAATTGGGTTACTTTAAATATAACTCTAATGATAACCTATCCCTATGAATTTAAACTAAATTGTTTCAATGTAAACAATAAAGCGTATAATAAAAAACGAGTTGAGAAATATAATATCCACAACAACTCTCACGTCGTCATAGTTGTTGATTTGTTGTTAAGGATATAAAAATGTGATCAGTTTTTGATTAACCGATAACGATTCGATTTTAAAGATCGATCAGCTTATTGTGACGTCGATTGTTTTTTGATACGTCGAATACGTCATTTGATATATTTTAACTTATCTATAACAAATTTATATATATAAAAACAAATTTATATTTACATATAAATCGTTATAAAAACATAATAATCATTTTATGCAAAAATGTTATGATGGTACAATCCAAACTTCGCATATTCTGCCACACATAATGGCGTGCAAATTTGTCCTAAAAGCTAGAATAGAAGTTACAATTACATTATGAGTCATAGCATTATACTCAATTCTTATATTATTTTATCACTACATCGTCACATTATTAAAATATGTTATTACGTTATCAAATTAATATTAATTATAATATTTCACACAAATAATAATGAATAGAAGGTAATATTTAAATCAATTGAACGAGTCGATTTAAGTAGAGTTTTAAAACTCTAATAGGAAGATCTTTGAATGTTTTGGTAAATTATTAAAAGCATAGCCATACAAAAAGTATTTTTCCTATAGGCATATTTCTCCCGTGTATACTTTGGCAGTTGTCCATTCCCGTTGACTTAACAATATTTATGTTTTTGTGATTCGTTCACACATTTGTTCGTTTCGTTAGGACATTTCTAGAATATTATGTAGTTCAGTTCAGGGAAGAGATAAAACAATTTACAGGGGTTTTAGCACCACGCCTAAAGATATTTATTTTGTGCGATTTAAAGCTTTATCAAAACGATTTGTGTTAATTTGATTAATTCATATAGTGAAAAAGAACCAAAAAATAGTCTTTCCTCCAACTTCGATTATGTTCCCTTTTGAGCTTCAGGTGCACAGGCGCTAATTAATGATTTAAAATGGCGGCTGGTAGATAATACCGGTGACCTCAGAGCTGGTGCTTTCCTCGCTCAAAGAATATCGCAATACAGCGAGGAAATGTTGCCAGCGTTAGAGGTACACCGCCACAGGGATCAAAGTTTTTTTAATTTTCTTGTATTTTAAAATTATTTAAGGTTAAGAAAAACGTAATTACTGTATATTTGATTGTTTTTGGTAAACGGTCTGGTATTATAAATATGTGTTTATTTATTATAAGTATACATTACAACGTGTAAAATATTAAAATGGGCTTCTACCGATATGGCTACTGAAAAAATTTCAAAATGATTTTCAGTTTTTGTAATCTTATTTGCAAAACACGTATAAATTCGTTTTTTTTGATTGATCAAGCGATAGAATATGATTAATGGTCTGATTATTTTTATTGATATTTAGCGTTGTGTTAATCTATTAATGTACCATTACTGTTCCATATTACAAACCTAATTTATTGGCATCATTTAGGTTTGCTATTCCATAAACTATATTAAAAGTTTTGATAATTTATTTGATTTTTTGTAATGCGCGTTGTCGAATTTAGAACAACTATGCCATCAAATAGATGATAAAACTAATAAATCTTTAATTCATAAAGCATCTAAACTAAATTAAACAGTGGCGCTACAACCTTTTTAGGTCTGGGCCTCAGATTTCTGTTTCTTGATCATTTGTCAATCTGTGGCAAGTAAGTGATCAGTCTCCTGTGCTTGACGCACACCGTCGACGTCGCAATCAGACAAGCCGGTTTCCACACGATGTTTTCCTTCACCGTTCAAGCAAATGTTCAATGCGCACATAGACAGAAAGTCTATTGGTGCACAGCCGGGGATAGAACCTACGACCTCAGGGATGAGAGTCGCACGCTGGTTTCCGTTAATTAAGAAAAATAAAGTACTCATTCTCTTTGACGGAATAATTTAAAAAACAATAATAATTATAAAATAATAAAAGGCCTCCCCTTGTTGTTTCCGCTCGTTTCTTTCACGATCTTCTCTGTCTTTCCGTCAGATCGTCTTCTCATCTCTTTTGACGAGAAATTTTGACGGCCTCTTTTCCGTCTCCCATCTCTGGGATACCCTACCCTGTCCAAGTCGATTAAAGTTTTTTTTGTAGTTTTATAGAAAACATTACTGAAGTAAAACAGTGTAAGCCTAGTATGTCGTGAATAACATATTTCTTACAACAATTCTCTTTGCAGAACAGATCACCGCCTCCCGCACCAATACCATCAGCAATCTTCTACGCACCGCCGGAACCACTAGAAGTAAGTTATTTATATATATATATTATATTTTGTTCATCGCTTAAGAATAGATATATTAAGAACAAAGTCTTAGTATTGACCAGTTAAACTCTAATGTTATTAATATATATTTTTATTCGATGCATTTATGAGTTTTTTTTTAAATTGTTTACAACTTCTCACAATTTTTGTTTTAACAAAACGCATTACGCGACGCGTAACATGCGTGAGTCAGTGTGTGTGCATGTGAGTGAATGAGTAAGTGCAATGTGTATGAATGTGCTTTGAATTAATAGATTGTTTAATTGTGATAATTATTACAGACGGTCGCATAATTTGAAGTCGCAAAAAGACAGAGCAAATTAGAGCGGATGACAACGCATCTTATCCCCAATATATCCCTCGCTATTTGTATTTATTAAAGACTAAACGAGGGTCGTCTACTGAAAATAAAAGTTTCAGAATTCCAGGCATAAAATCTTTCAAATTCGTAATCAAATTTTCTCATGTTTAATAAGAATTTACTCCATAGATTTAACATCTAAATATCTTAAATGTCAAGTAAGTTCTGATTGAAATAGTAATTATCTGCGTATCATGTAATCTGCATAGATTACATGACGGCATCGTCAAGTGTGGACGTGCAATTTGCTTAATCCACATTAATACATAATCTCCGCTTACATGTATTTAGAGTCCTTTACATAACATGTTTATTCATAGCGTTAGTGTCAGGTATCAGAGAAAAAAGTGGGTTAAAATGGTGTCAATGATACTTAATTATATGATTTGATTCTGCCTTATAGGTTTAATAGTTTTGTAAGGACATTATAATTAAATTATTTTTATAAATAGAAGACGCAAAATTTACAATTATGTCGGCAAACAAATCGATGACGAAAAGCAAATAAATATAATGTCTTTTTATCTGCGTTATACCGCGGAATAAAAATCACAAGTTTTTGAAATAATGTTAAAATTATGTGTATACAAAAAAGACTTATTTAATAAAAAGTGGACGAAATTAAATATCCCTTTTTTAACTTATATATACGTTATAATAATAAAAAAGCCTTTATTCATCCACATCTTCTTGCCATACATTTAACAAAAATAGATATAAATAAAAAATTTACTACTCTAAGATGCGGCCCCTATCCGGGAGAAGGCCTCCAACTTTTTCCACCCTATTTTATTTTGTGCCATCGTCATCTAATTTTTTCCGGCTACCCTTTCGATCCTGTCGGCCCATCGCTCTATTGGTCTGCCCTTGTTAATTTTTCCTTGTGGACCAGTCCATTCGGTTACTGCTTTAGACCATCAGCTGTCAACTGTGTAACGGGCCAACTATATATAGGTTACTAAATTGTTATAGCATTTTACTAATTTTAAACTCCATTCACTAGTGTCTTTAAGAACTGTCAATTATTCTTATTTTGACATTTTATTTTATTTACTATACACTTTTACACAAGACTTCATTGCTTACACTGCTGCCTTTTAATAATGTTATTTTTTTTCTACTAAGTATTAGTATTATTATATATTTATTTCTTTTTGTATTATTATATATTTTTTCTTTTTTTGCGACTGAGGCGCAATTTAGCTGCTGTGGTATCTGGCAGAATGACCAGCGCTGTGGAACAGTCTCCTCCTCAGCATAATGCTGAGCCAGGGCCAATTATAGCCACAGCACACACGCGTTACACACTTGAAACGAACCGAAAGGGAAAAGTGAAAAAAAATGTTGTTATCTTTCATTATATTTTTTTTCCTTTGGTTATTGTTATCATGTTTGTTTATGTGTGTGTTTTTGATAGTAATAAATGTTATGTCTATGTCTTACAAACATATACAAAACTTATCTTTCACAGTGTTGACTAGCACTTACTACACCTACAAGCTTGTGTGACTAGTTTTCACTTAAAACAAATTTTTGAATGGTGATGAGTGTAAGTAAGTCATCATTATATTGACTATAAATGCGTGTTTAAAAAAATACTTAATTTACAGTTACTATGCGTATTCCCGGAACGCGCCTCCCGCGTTTGCGCAGCAGCCTGCAACGCAGTAGCGCGCGCTGGCGGAGAGGCCCGGTCCGTGCGAAGCGCACGGGAAGCCCTCGAAGCCTTTCGCAGAGATCTAGAAACGCGGATTCCTCATGTCGTCATTGTTGATGCACGGCAGCCGCAAATTATGGATGCTACCTTACTAGCTAGGTGAGTAGTATACACCAAACATGTATTTCAATGTTAAACTAAACTCTTAATATTAAAAATATAAATAGCGGTGTTTAAATGACCGGCTCAACCTTGGTCACCTCAGATTTTAGAAATGCCAATCTCTTGTCGGCTTTTGATGCCGGGAATCAAACGTTTGGTCGGAGTGCTATACACTAAGAGAGCTGAACACATTTATGACTTTGAAACTATTAGTTCTGAAAACCAAATCGTGTTTTACAAAAACTTGTATATTTATATGTGTAGTTAAGAAAAATAAAACCGTATATTAAAGAGTACAAAATATAGTGTACACAGGTCAATGTATATTTAATTTCATACAGTGAAGCGTTCTCTAGTCGACGGCTAACCAAAACCATTCTAGCTATGGATGTATCTACCATCGCCGGAACGGGTTATATTTCAGTCTATATGTAAGCCCTACGAACATTGTTCATCGCATTTTGTTTATTTATATATTTTAAAAAGGCACACATACAAACACTTAAAGAGAACACACGACATACAAAAACACAATACATGCATGTGCATCAATCTATTGAGGGAAACATAACATTACATGACGTCAAGGCAGAATACAAAATACCATCCGTATCATCTTGACGTCCGTTGTTCCACAACTGAGCGTTTCTTACCAGCTTCCCACTGAAGTATTTCCGAACCAATTCGACTGAGCATGCTTGCGAGCCTTCTGGCAGTGCGAGTGCGAGTAAAAGACAAAACTAGATTAAGAAATACAAATGTGCAATTTAATATATTTCTACTTTGTTTTGAAATAAAATAGTCAGACGGTAACGAGTCTTGCAGGTAGGAATGTCTGGTTTTGAAGCTAAATACTGAGACGTAAAAAGGAACACAATTACTTAGAATGGTAATATTTCACAGTTGCCATTTCACATATTTTAAAGAATAAAGAACTCTCCACCTTTCTCCACCTTTCTTACTTCTTGCCAATATCCTTTCTAAAAATAATAATTTATTTGTGTGAGATCCTATTCTTCCCGTTGCCATTATTTGAATTTTAATATGACATCATCGTGTTGTTCTTTCGATTACCCATAACAGAAATAGCAATGTACTTAATTCATAAAATGAAATTCCTCAATTTTCTAAGTTAGCATGCCGTAAATCAAGATGTAATTCTAACTTCATCGAGAAAGATCACATTCTGTTAATAAAAATATAATTTGCGTAATAAAAATTTCGTAATTTTATTTCGTTAGCAATTTAATTACATCCTGATGCGATGTTTACGAGTGCCCACAACGCTGTCAGTTATTTTCAACCACAGCATAAAATCGAAAATTTTCTCAAAAACATGATGAACATACACTATTTTGTTGTAGCAATAAGTATCATTTATCTTCGTTATAGAATTCAATTGTAACAAAAAGTTTATACAAAAAACAAAAAGTCATAAACACATTTTATGTATAATATTCATTTTGTTCTGGTTTTGGTTAGCACTGCGCCTTCTTAATTTGTCATGTCATTGTCAAACGTATCTGAGTGTCCTCAATTTGACATGCGTACTGAGAGAAAACTAAAATTAATAAGTAAGTAAAAACGGTAAGGAATCTTTTACATCATAAGAAGTATCTTTTGTCAAAAAACAATTTAGAAAAACCGATTTTAAATATTTGTCATTGTTTTACATTATTGATCTAGTTTTAGTGTTTGATGACACTTAGACTGTTTCTAAGTTTAAAATACCATCTTCGTTCTTCCTATTGGAATTCTAAATAGATAATACTCAAATATTATCAAATTCCAATAATATAACAAACATAGGTCCAAGTGATAATTTATGTTTTAAGTCGGATAGTAATTAACTAAATGTGTAACACAATTTGACAAAACCGATTAGTAATTACAACAGCACGCCTTGTCAACAAGTTAGACTTATTTTTAATTTTAAAAAAACATTAACCAATTATTATTAAAAGCAACCTATCTTCAGTGAGGTCTAAACAAAGACAAAACGTCAATTAACGTCTTATTGAGATGCCTGCCGCTGACTGCAGTTAATCTGCATCTATTGTGGGCATAGATTAATAGACTTTCCATGATGGGACCTCGTTTATCAACGACATATTGACCGATATTACAACGAGGCTTTTGAAAAGAGCGTTCTAGTTAACTTGAATTAATGATCTGTGGGACAAAGACTGTCAAGTCCACCTATATACGCAAAAGGTTCCTGTGTCAGGGGAATATTTACATAAACTATTTTATACTTATACTTACTTGCTTATTTTATTTATGTGGTTTAAATCTGTATATTATGTAATCGTTAAATAAAACGATAATCCAGTCCAATAGATTCAATGTATTTTTATCGTATTTAATGAACATATTCAGCGGTGTAGACTCATCAGACACGATAGTTAAGCTTAGTATAACGTTGTATTTTCGTAACCATTGTAACGAAGTTACCTTTAGTCATAACTTCTAAAAAGTTATTGGTCTCGAAGTTCAAGTTTCGCTATTTTGACATTGGACGTTAATAAAGCTAAATCCCTTGCGTATATTTAAATTTAAAGCCTTGTGCGAGAAAAATAAAACCTAAGAATTTTATTACAAATTACTTATAACGTAAAAATAAAACCGCGTTGTATGCAAAAGAGTATTAAAAGTAATCAACTCGCGTGTCATATTAACATTATATATACTCTAAAGACTCATTACGTTCCTATTAATACTTTTCCATTAGAATATTAAACACCGCCCAGTCTACGTAAATCTATGAATTAACAAGTAGTCTTCGTTTATATTCATAGTTTCGTTAAACGGGAGAAAAATCGGTTGGTGAAATTTACAAATGTTTTAATCAAAAAGTAATAAAACAGATAATTATTTAAGATTCCCGATAATGTCTTTAATATTTAATGTCGAATTCGCCGTCAGGAATATATTCGCTTTCGATTTTCATACACTACAATATTTCGGAAAAGTGTATCAACATTGGAATTTCGCGGCACAGAATCTCAATATAGATGTCGGGACCGCTATCGCTATGGAGAATTGCAGAACACAGGATTACTCCGTTGGATGCGGAGGTATCCAAAGCCAAACGAACTCCTGCTGTGCCAACGTCCATTCCACATCATTCATGGCCATAGTGGGCAGTGATATAACGGCTGATCGCGTGGCAGGATGCAGACAAGGCTACGTTGTTAACGTGTCCTGCCTCGGGCGATTGCTGGTGGCGCCGTGGGGTTTCAGTGGGTCTGCACAGTAGGGAGTCCCCTAAACACCACAAGGTAGTCGTCTCACGAAAAAAAAAATTGTCTAGAAAATGGGAGTGCATTACATTCCTGTTACAAAGTGTCTATAAACCAAACAATGTATTTCTCAATTCGAATTGTATTATCAAAGTGATATACGCTATTTCCGTTTGGCTCTTTGTCAAGTCAAGAAAAATGTAATAAAATATTAACTGATTCCCCTTCCTGCGATAAACATTCGCCAAACAAATTTCCTGTGCCGTATTGCCTGTAATGAGGAAATGGGAGATGTATTGAATTTTGATTTTATTTATATTTCGTGTTATTTTCCGGGCCTTTCAAACTTCAATACATTTGTTAGGACGGTATTAGTAGACTTAAAACGATAATTCCAATTTATGTACTTTGACACTACTGGCCTAGTGAGACGATTGAAAAGGACAAAACTATTTGAATTAGTGTTAGTGAACGTTAGTCTTAAGTGCTAAACAGTGGTAAATAAAAATTAGAACACAGTAACTTCTAAAGTCTCTTCCCCTTAATAGGGACTGTTAGCAGTTATTGTACACTTTCTTATGTTAAATATTCTTTTAGAAAATTAGGTTAGACTTAAATTACTTATTAGTTTTAAGTTAGGCTAGATCGTAATATTCTAATAAATAATTAAAATAAAATATGTAGGTACTTTAAATTTTAATTAAATTAAACAAGCCTGAAGTTATATGTAAAAAATGGATATAAACAGCTACAGTGGCCAGTGATAACACATATATGTGAGATTCGCTGTGTGAATGAAAGTTTTTCGTAAAAAAGGCAACGAAAATTATCTCGTGATATATCCTAAACCTGGTGGGGTGTTGAACAGACACTTTTCTGCTTCTCTTCCATTCTTGTAGTATGCAATTTTTTTTTTAAATATACAGTCTACTGTTTTGTTGTTTTTGTCTTTTAGACATGCCGGTTTCCTGACGATATTTTCCCATCTTACGAATGAAAAAACAAATGTCCATTACGCAAAAGTCGGAGTTTGAACACCCAACCCCCACGTTCGATAACTAAGCTAACAGTTCTACAAAACTTATATTATAGCTCTTCGTGACATTATTTAGTATATAAAAAACATTATTAAATATTTTCAAATTGTATTTTAGATCTAATTACTTTACTCTGGGAATCCAAACTTTCCGGCTTCAATTACTGAAAAGTTTAAATCTCATATTTTGGGCCTATGTCATAATAACGTCAAAACTTTGACGTATACAAAAGTTAGCCATCCCCTTTTCGTCAAGGAACGGGTTTAATGCAAATGTGATGAACAATTTTCGGATTATACATGGCAAGTTCGTAGATTTAATCCTATTATGAGATACGGCTGTGATATTTTAGAATTCAAACGCCCACTGTTTGTGTTAAAACTAGCAATAAAACGTTTTCGAAGTAAATACGTTAAATTAATTCCTTAATTATCACCATATACTTCAGATATTACACTGAAACACATTTATATTTCTATCTCATTCTTTTAAGGTATCTGTGTGCCCATTTTTGGCAAAAGCCTCCTCCAAAACCCTGCCATTCCTGTCTGCACTGTGACACTCTGTGCCATGTACCAGCTGCTGTTTCCTTAATTTGATATATCCACCTTCTAAATTGTCTTCCTCTTTTCTATGGTTACCAATTTAGTACTTTACAAAACCAACATCTTAAACAAAATAGTACATTATTATAATTATTATTTTTTTAAACCGCTGAGTGCCGCAGGTTGGGAAAAATATATATCACATACACTTCACACTTTCACCGCCCTAATATTGTGACGCTCACCTAACAAAGTCTTTGTTCTGTATGTTTATGATACTTGATTATATTAAGACAACAATCTCTTAGGATAGACACCATTGTTCATGGACAATGTCATTTGAAGTGGTTTTATGTAATTTAAGACATATTCTTGGCCATTAAGGCTTTTAAAATCAACAACAACTGGCATTAGTTTAATTCTAATGACATATTGATAGATTTAAAAACAGTGTTGGCCTAGTGGCTTCAGCGTGAGAGTCTCATCCCTGAGGTCGTAGGTTTGATCCCCGACTGTGCACCAATGACTTTCTTTCTATGTACGCATTTAACATTCGCTCGAACGGTGAAAATATCGTGAGGAAATCGGCTTGCCTAAGACCCAAAAAGTCGACGACGTGTGTTAAGCAGAGGAGGCTGATCACTTGCCTGTTAGATTGGCAAATGATCATGAAACTGACACAGAAGCGCCTCCTTACATTTGAAATTGGCGTTTTGAATGGAAGGAACAAAAGTTCGATTGTTATAAAGACAATATAACGTATTTAATTAATCAAAGTATGTATCATTGCTATCTATGCACTTTTTCCATCTTAAAGGTAGTTCATTGATCCCTTTACTTAAACAACCATAAGTTAAGGAATCAATAAAATCAAAGTGGCCAGTACGACAAAACGCAAATTGCATATGTAAGCACCTTATATATACAAGTATGTAGGTCTCCGTATAAGGGCCTTAATTTAGCTTTTATGTGAGAGAAACCCCGGGAGCATAAACGGGGTAGCGGGTACAGTGGGTATAGTGCACCCTGGTATCGAGCTGCAGCGGAATAACCAGGAGTGATGAGATTTCTATCTACCCTCATGATATCTGTATAATTTTTGGATAAAAAAATAATAACAAATTTATCATTGTCGCTGTTGACGGGGGTTTTTAATCTTATTATGCACAAAGCCAATAAAATATATGCAAAATTTTAAAAAAGTATATATTAAGCAATTAAGCTTCTATTCAGTCACTTTATTGTTTGTATTTCCTCAATATGTAAATGGTTAGGGCAAGTTTGTAACTTTATTAATTGCCCCGGACTGCAATGTCGGGGATAATTTAAGTTTCACTATAGTTTATATGTTCCTTGTTCATTTTATAAGAACTATTAAATTGATACAAGGGTTTTTATGGCATTTTTTTATACTTACTTTCGATTTACGACGATTCCAAATGTACATTTGGAAAAAAATACAAAAAACTCGTCAAATTGTGAACTGATGTATTTTTTATACATTTCTGTATTATTTTTTAATTTACCTTTTTTGTGTATGATAAGTTACAGCGTATATAACTACAAACTAAACAAATACGAAAAGAAATCATTACATTTTTTGAAGTTATACTTCTATAGGCGCGTTAAAAATTGATGAGAGTGAAATTTTACGATGCGCGCGCACCGTGACACAAAATTAACAGAATGAATTTGCCCACGGAAGATGCTACGGCATTGGACATAATTTAAAAACAACATTCGAATAATAATAGAATTTATGTTACACTTAATGTAAGTGAATAATAATAAATATTTATTTATTTAATTTTTCAAATGTAAACTGAACTTTATTGACTATATAATGACTCCTTTTCCATTCTTTGATTATATAATTGTAATTAAATATTTGCATGCAATCAAAAACTATTTTTAATAATGCCAAAGAAGTATAACTTCTTACGCGCGTACATAAGTACACGCACCCTTTTTTTTAAAATATATAACTCCGATAAATATAAATTCGGTGGAAATGTGTAGACATTGATTGAGAGTCTGACCTAAATACACAGGACCTATTTGGGACAACTCTTTCGATGTTTGGCGTTCCCTTGGTGGTTAAATGACGGACGGAGTTGAAATCTGGTCATTTAGACATGCCAAAATGGCTAATAGCAACTTAGAAAAAGAACTATAATGAAAGTGTTTCCTTTCGAGGATCAACTAAGATAAGAAATGTAAGAAGTCAAGGAAAAGAGATGATTGCCTCATTCTTTGGTTGGAAAGGTCATTTCGCGACAGTTGTGCTAGAAGATGTAAGGACAGTTACTGCAGACTGGTATGTCAATCGCTGTTAGCCTGTTGTCTTGGAAAAAATTCGACAGCAGCGCCCTCGAAGCAGGATCCTTCACCACGACAATGCTTAAGCGCACTCCGCAGAACAGACTGTTGAATATTTGACTATGGCAGGTATCAAGATAATGAGTCATCCGCCATACAGTACTGACCTGGCACCCTGCGACATTCATTTATTCCCAAGAACTAAAGATAAAATTCGGGGTATTCGCTTTACGAACCCTGAAGATGCGGTGAAAGCGTACAATGCCATAGAACAGACCCCTAAGCCGTTTTTCATTTTCTAAACATTTTCAGTGTTACCTGGGTACAAATTGTTTGAACTAGAGCAAATCAATCCCAAGGATTAAAATCATTTAAATTATCGTCAAATTTATAAACAGCTTGATTTATTAATTTACGTTTAATATAACTCTCGGTATGAATTTATTCCGTAATAATAAAAAACGAATACAATTTCCATATAAGGAGTGGTTTATTTTTTGGCCGCACGCTTAGATTAGTTCTTTTTCGAGTATTATACTGGTGAAATCCATCATTGGTTTAAAAATCGTTTATATTTTTTGTACATACAACGAGGCTTCAAGAATATATTGACCAGATAGTGTCATAATATTTAATTACTTAATCTTATATAAAGTGTATTGTACGTTCTATGTATCAATCATGTTACTTTTTATCATATAAAAAAATTCTTATATAAGAACTTTTTAAATTCCAAAACATTAACCTCAATTAAATAATATGATTTTGAACATAGACTATGAATTACCATCAAAAATAAAGGCATTAATTAGTAGTACTCTGTTAATAGACAACAAATTATAGGAAATGCATACTTAAATTTTGCACATATTTCCTTAGTAAATTTAAAGTATAAAATTGTATTAAGCGCTCACACGTTATTTGAAAACGTACCTGACTGTTTCCACTTTGTCGCGTAATATGATTAATTCGATATCGAATTCGAAAATCAAAAATAGCCGGTGACGGAAAAGTTTTAACACGCGTGATAAACAAGTTATGAATGGGACATAAGTATACATAACATAAGGATTTTTTTTATATTGCCTAATATATTATAGATATATAAACTACAAGTACAGAAAACGCCAAAAAATCACTAAGGTGTCTGAAGGCCTACACCACAGAACAAATTTAAAATTTCTTATTAACTAAATAGTTTAAAAAAATACAATTACCACAAAGAAACAGAGAGAAAACAAAACGTTTTTATACCTTAAACATAATATTACATCGATCTTAAATTTATGGAGCCAACTGGCCACATCCCAGGTTGACTAAAAATGCTTTATATATTTAATATATTATATAGATTTATACAATTAAAAAGTATATTTACTTATTTGTATGTGGGTGAGACAGTACCTATGATATATATTCAATAACGTATTAAGCTACAATCTTGTCTTAGACAAATCTTATAAAATTAAAGATGTTTAGCAGATCTTAAGACAAGATTCAAGGCGCTTTCAGAATACAGTGCATATTATATTGGCTTAGTGGATTCCTTAACTTAAGATAGACTTCCGTCAAATTAGCATTTTTTTGTAATGTTTCAGCAGCCTTCTGTGCCGTACTTAGACATAACTTAATAGACTATCCATTTATTACGAAGGTAATAAAAAGAAATAAAAAATAGGGAAGTATCTTTCATAAATTCTTTTTCATGTATGTAGTATTTCAATAGAAATTGTTTATTTCAGCACCTGATTCCCAACGACGTCCTTTTATTTCTCAGCCGCCCTTCAAAGACACCAAAAAGGATAATATTATTAACGTACTATCGGCAAAAGTATCTAAAGAATAGGAATTTTCGGATTTTTATGATTTACTTTACAGTTTGAGGTCTGTTCTTTGATAATATTACATAACTTCTTTTTAGGAGCGAATTTTTAAGTCCTTTAGTGGACGTTTACATTAATTAATAGTATAATATTAATAATAAAATTACTACAGTTATCATCTAGCAAAGCTTACGGCTCTCAACTCTGAGTAGTGAACTAAATTTTTTTATTAACAAGGCTTTCATATGAGAAACAATTCACGCCCTCACTGCGCTCTGTGACCTAAAGCGTACATTGTCCTCCGAAACGAGAAAGTTCCACAGTTCCACGTCCTGTGCCACTTCCAGCTGGTTGCGGGCTTTCAGAAACTATATCATTTCATTTACGAATTATAAATCAAGAAACTATATCATTTCGTTTCAGTAGAGAACTATCGATTTGTATGCTTATTTAATTCTATAGTGTGATTAGTTTAAAAATGATGTTTTCCAGCCATGAAAGACTAAAAATTGAGGTCTTCATGCGTTTGCTGGTAGTACTTTTCATAAGCAGATTTGGTTTATCTCCTGATAAAGTTTTCGAGATGCCGAAAACATTCCAAGCGAAAAGTGTGAAGAGCTCTTTATACACTCGTTAGTAACCAGTAAGATGCTTTCAGCGTTTTCAGCTTAGAAATTTTAAAACTTTACGAACAGACTCGTACATGATAATTATTTTATTAAATTATTATGTTATGTTGTTATTTTCATTTAATGTATTTTGTTTAAAGATTTAATAGTCTGTTTGACTTCGTTTGACAGACTTCGCCAGGCTTGTTACGCTACCAAATAAATGAAAAAAAATTTTTTTTAAATTTAAAACATCTTTTCTGACATGATCTGAATTTTAATTTAATATTTTTTGTTTCAGAGCAATACGAGGGCTGAAAAACACACAACACACCGTTTTGATTGCAGTCGTTAAAAAAAGGTTAGTCATCTTCTAGCTTTGTCAATACATAATATATGAATCAATAAAAACATTTTTTTGTCTTATGTATGTATTATGTTATGTACATTGATTTCTCCGTAGTAGTTAATAAATGTTCACTTATAATACCACAAGAGCTTCAAAATTATCGGGTATTTCCCGATAGGTTCGTTGCAAACAAATGAAGGAGTCAAGTTTTTCAGGTTAAAAAATCACGACTTTATTTGTTTGCAGGGAACCTTGAGGGAAATGCCAGATAATTTTGAAGCTCGTGTGGTATTCGGGGAATTTTTCCGACCCAAATGTCGGCCAGAATTGCACCCATGAGACGAAATGTACAGTTAACAAATAAGAACTTCATAATGAATAAAACAACTACTTTAATACTTTTCTTGAAGCAACTACCAGAGAAAATTTTCAAAAAATTATCAGTATAATACCATGTAGGTTGTACCACGTGACGTCGAATGGTGCAATTCTATTGGTCGATATTTGGGTCGGAAAAATAATCTAAAATAATTTTCTACTGGATTTCAAAACGCCACTAAATTCTATTTTATTCATAAGACAATGACCGATTGAAGCGAGTTCCTATTATTCCAAAACATTCATTTATGAGTTTAATTCTAAAGCAATAACATAAATCCTTTTAAATAAAGATAAGAAAAAACCGAAAATTTTCCGGTAATAAAATACCAGCTGAAGAATGTTCTAATAAAGTGGAATAGAGGCGTGGGTGACAGAAGGCATGTGTGATGTATATCGATGCGCGAAATTAGGTCAAGGGTGGCTACCTGCGTTGAGTCTTTTAAGATAAATCTTAAATTCATTGCACCTTTAATGAATATGTCACTATGCAAACTGCCCAGTCTACGTGAAATTATTAAATTCCTTAAACGTTCAAACCCTATAATCAATAGCAAAAAATAGATAGTTTTTTACATTTAATTGATGGTTTTTTTATATATATATACCAATGGCGCTAGAACCTTTTAGCTCTATTCGTTCTTTCTATAAAGACGCTAGCTACATAAACATAATATCTAGATCATAAGAGTTTGTACGAAGTTATTATATCTACAGAACTTCTCAACTTAGCCAATATCGCTCGCAATAATTGACTTCTACTTCTTAGTTCTTACAATTGCAATCATATCTTTCATTTATATCTTTATTAGGAAATGGTAAGTGTTTTTAATTAAAGCATAATTAAATCCCTGTTCAAGGAGCTCCAAGAAGAGTCTTAAGAAATACTTTTTACATTAAATTCATAATAGGTTTTGCTTTTCTCAAACAAATTTAATAATATTATGTTCACACCCTATTACCTAAATTATCTCAAAGGTTTTATTATGGTACAGTATAATTTTTTTTTGTAATTTTTTGGTCAAAACTTATGTTAAATACCACTTTTAACTTTACTCAGAACAGATACTTGAGTTAATTATTGCAACAACAGTTATTAAAATTTTCCGAATTTTTCCTTCTTACAAAAATTATTATTAAAACAGATTCAAAAGTATGCATTTATACTTTTAATTTTGCTTTTTAAAAATCACACTTAGGCTTATAACTTCAAGCTCCACATTTTATGCTGTATTTATGTAGTAACTTTGAAATGGCCCATTAAAACGTGCTTCCTTGCTGCACTTTCCATATTAAAAACCAAGAGTTCTATAAAACTAGTTACTACCTTAGACTTTAAAGACTAGACTTATATAAAACCGTTGCCAATTTGCATAATGCGTTCTAATACGTTTTCCGTTATCCGCAACTTAGAAGTAAACAGTGTTTGTTTCGCATATTATAGAAAACCCAGTTTAGAAGCGATTTGGAAATACTTTGTAGCAGAAGTTAAGTTCGGTAGCGATGGTTGAAAGGTTATTCAAATAAATGAATCACTTTGTCCGAAGCTAAGTGTCAATTGTCTTAAATCGTTAAAAACGTGCCGCTGGACTAACAAAAACTGTAATTTGTTGTAATTTAATATGTGTAAAATCCCAGCCACATCTGTCACCTATAAAGAATATAAATCTAGTCAACCTATTGGACCTCGGAAACGAGAATGTTATATTACAATTTATGCGTGTATGATAAACTAAACATATATTACCAAACTAACATTTTACAATTTATTGGCTACAAGTGTAAGATGATTGTTAATATTTAGTTTGCACTTCTAATCAAATAAAACATACTAGTATATGTAAGTTAACTAATGTTAGTTTACTAAACATGGTGGGCGGCATGTCCAAACGTAATAATATGTACATAAATATTGTATTTAGTTCTGATATTCACCAACGGATGGCGCTGTGCGATTTCTGCATTATGCTGAATCGCGCTATCGTTATATGTGGTTTTTAGTATAAGGTTTAAGATATTTTTTGAATAAATTGTCTTCGTCCTGGAATCGTGGAGTTTTGTTCACAGGTCTTAACCTACCGTTAGCGGGAACTATGAGTTACGTCAAAATGGCTTTTGACATATCAATTCTTAGCGACATTCGAATCATCTATTTTTAAACTTGTTTAACCATTGTACAGTAACTGTCTTGCATGTTATTTCGCTTCGATAAATAATCTTATTTAGAGGAACAATTTCATCTGACAAGAAAGTATTGGATCTATTTTATTTGTGCGACATTTTTGCATTTCGCTTCTTTGACGAGATATCTCTGATATGCTTTGCGAATAGCGATTGTACTAACGCTTTTAATGTTTTACGTCAGTTTTTTATTTATTTATCCTAAAATCAGAAATGTTATGTTTATTTATGGTACTATTTCTCCTTTTCGGTGCAGAGGTTCATCCATCCGAGTGGTCTCGGTAGTACTCTTTAACCTCACGCCAGGTCATTCCATTCTCTTTCGCCTTTGCAATGATGCTTTTTTGCCAGGTCTGTTTTAGGCGGACACGTTTCCTTTTACTTGGGGATTCCAGTTGAGAGCTTGCTTGACAATGTGACTGGGATCCCCTAAGTTTTAGACTTTAATTTCAATGATATCCTACTTTCCTATATCCAACTCATGTAAGTGCTAAAATATAAGTGGTGTCGGTCCTACTCCGAACTTTTTGCTTCTTATCTCTGGTCCCTCGGGGTTCCTCATACCAGTCAAGCCATATTATGAAGTGACGTCATATATTACGTTCAGAAAAATTTTTTCCATTTGAAACCTATAAGCAAAGCGGGTTTAATATATAAAAGCACACCATTATATTTGTTTTAATCCAAAGTCGAAGAACTTCACGATCTAATACGTAATTCGAATGGTTTTATATTCTGACTTAAGTGCCAATAATTTCTCACTCTCGATGTGTAATAACTTGGTATCGTAAATACTGTTCGTAAACGTCATTATATTTTATGTTTTTGTATTTTTGCGAAATCAATTTTAATTTCCAGACAATATTAGGTTTGTTAAATAGGTTGTTTATGAAATACAAATACATAATAATTATAATAAATAAAGCCATTTTAATACTGTTCAAAAAGTTACATTTCAAATGGTTAGTTTTGTAACTATAGGCATAGTTATTGTTATTTCCGTTTCTTTGTGTTCTGCAGTATGGGCCCCTTTTTGGTAAAGGCCTAAAAAGGGAAAGTTTAGAAGGACTAAACTTTCCCCTTGGATCTGTTCTTAGCTTCTATCCATTTCTCCCCAGAAACCCTCCAGTGGGTCGCTTCATCGGTCGGATCTTTTATCTGCGCACCTTACAATACAAATATATTATAGAAACTTATAAATATTCCCAAGCAACCAAAAAAAGCTGCTTGTATAAGAGATCTCGTTATGTTAAAGCTTAAGACAACGAAACCTGGGAATAAGGTGTATAACGCTTTTTTCTCTAGTGTGGAAATTAAAAATGCAATGTTTTTAATATGTCATGTAATTTATTTCGATATAGCATCGCAAATTTTATTAATTTTCGAATTAATACCCTATTGAGATGAATGAGAATGAATGGGAATATTTCTAGCACATTTACGAGAATATCTTTTATTTTTAAAGAAAAACCCAATGTGTATTTTCCTTTTCTATATTTTTATAATATAACCACAAAAAATACCTTTCATTCACCGGATTAAAGTTTTGTATTATTATACGCTCTTCAAATTTACAATTACGTTAATTACTTTAATACCTCCGGTAACCTGGGAAAAGGTTTTTTTGCTCTAGTGTGGAAAAGATTGCCTTTTTAATATGTAAGTAATTGATATATATGTCAATCAAAGACAATACTATCTTTTATTTTATTATAATTTTCATTTGATTTTTCGTTTATTCTTCGTGATGCTGCACTACACGTTTTATATTTTTACTCGGCCGATCGACACATTTTTTTAAGATTGATTACCTTTTCGCCAAATTATATTTGTTGGTAGTCCTATTTTATAATTTTGAAGTGGGTGTTTTGTGCGTTTTGTGACTCAAGGTAAGGCAAGGTATCAGTCTAGCCTCTCTTATTGTTCCCAAACTAATATAATTTCTCCATATCCTTTCTTCTTGTTAAGGATATATCGAAACGAGGTATGAACTCAAGACTTATTATTTTTGTATAAAATTGTATATCGACGGCCGTTCCTTGTATTACATTTTTATTTAAACATTTAATGTGGTATTTTAAGGATCTAACACACAGCTTTAGCGATTAGATAATTTTGCAGTTTTAAAAACATAAAAATCATATTTTCGTTTGGGTCACACATTACCAATATTCTCAAAATTCTATAGTCTTAAATAAAGTTAAACACGTCATTCATTTAAAAATAAGTTTTTAATTTACGAGTACAATTTAAGCAAAAAAATAATCTTTAAAGCTTCACTTAAAGCATAAAAGCGCTTCATAATCCACACGGACATGAAAAAGTTAATTATCTCATAAAATTTTGACGCAAAACAAGCAACACGTTTCGGCATTTGTACGACCCATAAAAACGATTTATTCGCGATAAACAGTTGCGCAGATTTCGATTTTGATTCAGCGTCCATCTCGAGATTTACATGGCTGTTTA